GCGAGTCGCAGACTCGATTGTGTACTCGACATCTGTCGGTGTACTCCACGTCCGTCTACTGGACGTCCGCGTAATCGAGGTCGGTCGGCGGGACGCGGACGCGAGTTTGTACTCGACATCCGTCCTTGTACTCCACGTCCGTGTACTCGATGTCCGTCCGTGTACTCGACGTCCGTCCGTGTACTCCACTTCTGTCTACTCGACGTCCGTCCGTGTACTCCACGTCTGTCTACTAGACGTCCGCGTACTCCACGTCCGTCGTCTGGCCGCGGGCACAAATTATTTCCAGTTTCAGAAAAAAAAATTTTCAGAAAAAGTTGAAATAGAGACGCGTCCGTGTACTCGTCGTCCGTCTGAGAATCAAGGACGCATCCGCGTATTCGCAATCGGTAGGAGATCCCCTGAGGCGTCTGTGTACTCGACGTCCGTCTGAGAATCGCGGACACGTCCGTGTACTCGACGTCCGTCTGAGAATCGCGGACGCGTCCGTGTACTCGAAGTCCGTCTGAGAATCGCGGACGCGTCCGCGTACTCGACGTCCGTCTGAGAATAGCAGACGCGTCCGCGTACTCGACGTCCGTCTGAGATTCGCGGACCCATCTGCGTACTCAACGTCGGTAGGAGATCCGAGGAGGCGTCTGTGTACTCGACGTCCGTCTGAGAATCGCGGACACGTCCGTGTACTCGACGTCCGTCTGAGAATCGCAGACGCGTCCGTGTACTCGAAGTCCTTCTGAGAATCGCGGACGCGTCCGTGTACTCGACGTCCGTCTGAGAATAGCGGACGCGTCCGCGTACTCGACGTCCGTCTGAGATTCGCGGACCCATCCGCGTACTCGACGTCGGTAGGAGATCCGAGGAGGCGTCCATGTACTCGAGTCCGTCTGAGAATCGCGGACGCGTTTGTGTACTCGAAGTCCGTCTGAGAATCGCGGACGCGTCCACCTACTCGACGTCGGTAGGAGATCCGAGGAGGCGTCCGTGCACTCGAAGTCCGTCTGAGTCCAGAAAAGTCCAGACTCTTCGAATATTTTTCTAAGTCCAGAAATGTCGAATTTATTTCTAAGTCCAGACTCTTCAAAATTCTAGAAAAGTCGAATCTACACCGGCCTCGTACAAATACATGTCTCTTATACAGAAAAATACGAGAGATTTCGTGATTTCTTTTTTTGGAATATATTTTATTTTACTAATTTTGCACAAAGTCTTTCTCGCGACAGAAAACGTACTCCGGAACGTCCAGCATCTCGGCGAGAAGGAGCCTACCGCACGCGAACGTCATCATCGTCTCCAGATCTTGAATTCCTCTCTTGACCCAGGGTTTCAACGGTATGCCGGTCTCCTTCGTCCACTGCGCGAGTACCACGGTCGTCAGGAATTCCTGCCAGGATTTCGAACACGCGTCCACGACTTGGTGTAGAGTCTTGGCCGATATCGCGGTCGAGGAATTCGCCGAATTGGTCTTTGCGACGTCGGCGGGGACGGAACCGAGCAGGACGTTCCTGACGATTACGTCGAGCGCGTGGGTCGCCTGTTTGACTCCGGAGTAAGACTTTGCGTTAAAATCGCACGCCAGCATGCTCCTTTCGTCTCCCACGTCCTCCGTGGCGACGTCGGGAAGACCGTGCATCCCTCCGTGCCTCCGAGCTGCCAAGCTGCTCCTCAGATTCTCCTTCTCCCGTCTGCACCGCGCAAGGTCAGCGAGAAGCTTCTGTTCCTTGTCCACGGCGGCAGCCTTTCGTGCGTCGCTCAGTAGGGAAGCCGCTCGCGGAACTCCGATCGTTCTCGCGTGGACGAGATTTTCGACAGCCGCACCCGTCACGCGATCTTCGTCCTCTTCGTAGTCGGCGTCCGGAGTCTTTCGCTCGTCCC